ATTCCCAGGTTAATATCCACATTTTTCCCCATTGCCTGCCCCAGAACAAATTTGCTTCTGCTCTGTTCACTTTTTGGAGACACCTGGAGCCAACAAACAAACAGAAAGAGTTTCAGCAGTGAGTAACAAAACTCAGAGTCCAGTACAGATGTGCCCCAGTGACCACAAAGATCAACTTTAACAGAGTATAAGAATCTGTCCTATCCCTATATTTGTGTTTATCCCAAGTTTTGAATCGGGAGGTTTTTCTCCAGCCCTTTCATCATAATGCAGCATCGGCAACAAGTTTTTCTAGTTGGTCTGTTGAAGTGGATCAGTGTGTAGGAATGATGTTGGGAGACAGGAGGGAGAGCCACAGACTGGACAAGTGGAAGGTAAAAGAAGTCTCAGCCCACAGAAGAGGGAGGGTATGGGAAAAATTTCCCTGTAGTTTTCCAGAGAGTAGAAGGAGAGGAGGGAAGAAATACTTTCACACTTAACAAGATTCTGTTAATATAACCTTCCAATAATGATAGAGTTAGGACTCATGGTTGTCTTGCTTGTGTGGACTACCTTGCAGGGTTAACATAATGATACCTATGTTGTGTTTGCATGACAACCTCTCAGCCCTATCAAGTAGACCAAAGAAAAAAATGTGAAGCATTTGAACGGGACCTTCAAACTGAAGGGGAAAAGCAACAATTGTTAGATCTTTCCGCTTCTCTTCAAGAAGAATCTCCTGGGCAGTTCAACTCCCCCTATCTTCCTGTTGTGCTTCTGCAGCTAACCTCAGGAGCTCGCAGAGCCAGAAGCATGAGAGATGACCACTCCAGCTGTCATCTCAGTGTTTCAGCAGTTGGCTTCCATAAAGAAGAATCTGGATTCATGGAAAAATGATTTCAAGGCATTGCTTCAAAAATACACAGGATACCTCTCGGTTTTTATTGAAGGCCAGGCAGAAGTCCCAATTAAGCCTCCTACCTTAGAACAAAAAACTAATAATTGCCTTCCTAATAAAGTTAATGAAACTGTCGGTGATGATCAATGCCTATTGAAAAGGTGAATAGTGATATTCTTATACTGTCCAAAGTTACTCTAACGTCAAAAGAAGGAGCCACCCTCTGAACGCCAAATTGCATCTTTTTCTCTGAGCAGACTCAATTCTGCTCACTGGGTCTCTCAAAGAGCAAGCAGAATTTCTCTGAGACAACTCCTCCTTTACCAGTGTCAACAGATAGATTTATGTACAGTCAAATGGCTCCCAAGTTCACCGGATAGCCAACAAATCTCGCTGACCTTTCAGCAGTCTATAATTCCTCCAGTGCTATTTAAGAGGAGACCATCTTTAACCACATTTCAAATCTTTGCTATTACTGTAGAGTTTTTAGTTATGCAAAACCAATGTCATAATTTAGCCTTTCTCAACCTTTTGGCCCTGGAGGAACCCCTGAAATCTTTTTTTAAGCCTTGGAGAAGCCCTGTACATCCAGGCTCAAATATAGGCCAGAAGTTACAAAATTATTATATTTGTTCCATGCGTAGGTCTGTAGATATGCATAAAGAATGTTCTGAAACTAAAAATAAAGAATGAAACTTGTCTCTTTAATGTGAAACCTGTGCTTGTTTTTTACTGCACAAATACTCAATTCTGGGTCAAATGTGAGATAAACACACATGGATTTCATCTTCAACTGAAGTAAGACGATTTCTGTCTTTGCTTTTGATGCTTGCTCAATAAGAAAAAGCTTGCTCACACACGTGAGTAGTTAAAAACTGCAGCAAAATGATCAGTGCTTTCTATGAATGGCACAGAAACCCAGAAAATGTCCATGGGCAGATCAGTCAATCTCATCTTGAGTGCACGATCAGACTGCAGCTCGCAAAGTTCTTCCTCTTCCTTCAAAGTGAAGTTCTCAGACTGAGCAGAAGATGCAGAGAAAAGATCGCTCGCCCAGTCATACATGTGGGTGGAAAGGGAGGGAAAGTACTGCTCAATTTTCCTCTTCAGTACTTCCAGCTGGTTTTCAATTAGATTTGAGACTTCCTGGGATCTTTCCTCACTCTCAAGCCCAAGCAGCAGTGGAAATAGTTCAGTATTTCCTTTTGCAACATGTTTTTTTTCCAAACATTCAGTTTTCTTTTAAATCCAAGATTCTTGTCACTTGAAGCCAAAATATTTTCTCCAGTGCCTTGCAGATAGTTGTTCAGCTGCTTCATGTGATGGAAGATGTCCACTAAGTATGGTCGTTTCTGCAACCATTCTTCATCTTCAAAGCACTCAGAAAAATATGGAATACAATTTTCT